AATTCCCAATGAGAAATGTAATTGTGTTGTATACCTACAATGTACCAATAAAAGAATTTAATTTAAAAAACAAATAAATAAATGAAGTGATTCGATGATTTTAAAGGGGTGTCTACTTTGAAATCATATTTAAAATCCAAAATTTTTATTTAGCCTGATCCAATATGTACCCTAAACTTCATGTTGGTAGCAACAATAATAGTTCTTGATGCAGAATGAGTGCAAATTATTGCATATGGGAAAGTTTACCACTGGAATCTGTGTTCCCCTTAATCCTCAGTCTCAGGTGTCCATCTTTTCTGCAAACCCCACTCCAGAGACAGGGTGAGAGGATGGGAAAGAAAGAAGACAAGGTGGGCTCCTGGAACACCACTGAGCACCTATTTACTTAGCAGTGTTGCCTGAGCCTCTGAGCTCTGCTTTTTTTTTTTTTTTAACATAAAAATCCAACTTTATTGAACGTAGGAATAGATGGATTTTCAAATGAATTATTTTTGCTTTATGGTTATTAGTATCTGATTCATGGTAGAATTTACTAACTGCCACTATATGAAGATGCTTGTCTATTCTTAATTCTATATTCATAAATAAATATATTTAAATCTAGAGAGAAACATTTGTGATTGGCTTATTAGTGCATGGTAATCCCTGGTATATGCACTGCTCAAGCTGGTACTAGGGAATCATCCATTCTACAGCAAATTTGAAGCACAGGCATAAATTTGAATTTTATACAAAAATTCAGCTTTACTCTTATTCTTACATTAGTGGGAGCTGACATCTGCAACTTACGGGAAAACAAATGCTTTTATTTTCTACCTCCTAGCTGAACAAAAACACACATAACATATTGTTCTTTTTAGACAAGACTCGGTGTGTTTGTTTGTTTTTTTTGGACCAGGGATCAAACTCGGATCCTTTCAATTGCAAGGCAGGTGGCAGAACCACTGAGCTAAATCCCCGGCCCCAAGACTTGGTTTTTATATTTCAATGAGAATACCATATAACCCTTCCTTAAAAGGGTATAATATGAAACAATCTTTGGAGGAAATGTTTAATATGCATATCTTATTTAAATAAATCCTCCAATAAGAAATGGAGAATTCATTGCCTTTACTTTGAAGGCTTTGTAGTTATCTGTCAAATTTATATGTGCAGCTCACCAACATTCCCTCATTGGAAATAGCAGTATTTCCACACAATAGTTCTCAAAAGGACTTAAAAGTCTCAAAATTCTGTATCTCCTTTGGCTTGCTTCTCTCTTGATTCCACCCAAGCTTTATTAATGGTTCACTTGATATCATCATCTCCATCTTCATAAATTTTCTTTAGAACATTCATTAATCCCTCTCTAGGATCTGTTTCAGCATCGTAGGATGGCTCTTCTTCTTCACATTCTTTTTCGACCTGAGTCAAGTATTCCTATCACGTGTTTTCTGCTTTCTTTCTACGTAAGATAAGAACTGTATCGGTCTTGATTTTTTTTGAACTGCCTTCCACTGAGATGGGTTTTAAGAGATTGTTCACAATCGTAGAGTAACTCTTCCCATTTAGATTCTTCACCAAAAGATCAAATGACCTCTCTGTGAAATGCACCTGCACATTCTCAGCAGGAGCTTGATGAATTCCAGTTAAGGTAATGTAGATTCTCACAAACTTATCTGACTGATCCCATCCATAATCACTGATTTTCAAAGTATATCCTGTTCTGATGGGAGCAACCACAGCAGCTGGTTTTTCATTGTCAAGAAATTCTGGTTTCTTTTGTGATTTTTCTTGTACCTTATTTTTTGTTTATTTTGTTGTTGTTGTTGTTGTTCTTGTTGTTGTTTTTTTGGCGGGGGGGGGCCGGGGATCGAACTCGGGTCCTTACGCTTGCACAGCAGGCGGCAAAACCACTGAGCTAAATCCCCGGCCCTGTTGCACCTTATTCTTTATTTCTGTTTCCACCTTGGATTTTTCAGCCATCAGGGCATCTCGTACTCTCTTCCTAGTGGCCTTTTCCAACAACACCTTCACCTCTTCTAGATCATTCTGCAACTAGTTATGTTAAAATGGGAAAGGGCTATCGTGTTAACAGTGGAATGTTCCTGGAGATAAGTTTCTCAGTAAGTTTTGATGTGCTGCAGATGTCCCATGCCTTGCCTTTTCCTTTGCTTTGTTTTGAGACAGGTTCTGGCTCTATAATTCAGGCTGGCCTTGAACTCACAGCAATCCTCTTGTCTCAGCCTCCCAAGTGCTGAGATTACAGGCATGAGCCAGCATGCACAGCTGAGCTCTGCTTTCGACATTAACAGGTATTCAAGAGGTGTTTGGAGACTAAGGCAGAAACCCTGGGAGGGGAGCAGATATTACCCCACTTCACTGATGAAGAAAATGAGGGCCTAGAAGATGACCTAATTTGTCTCAGTTCAGACCTGCAGCAAATGACAGAAAAAAAAACACTGTTGTATATATCTCTTTTTACATGGCATCAAGGTCATCTACAGTCAAGGGTAAGCCCTCTGCCTATATTCAGTTTCCAGTGGATGCTGATCTAGTTATTGAATCAACAAATGAAAATAAATTGGATTTTAAAACCTTGGGTTAGAACCCAGCATTCAAGAGAATGACAATTTACACTTCAAGTCATCCGGGAAATCCTACTGCAAAGCTAACTATTCTGTAAGTTAGATACATAGCTAAGGGGGAATCATGCCACAAAAAATACCATCTTGCTTACAGAGGCAGAAAAAGTCTTCCCTGGGCCCCTTCTGGGGAAGGAATAGACGTTGAGAGTATCTATTGCCCACCACCGTCTGCTGGAACGTCCTCCACTTCATTTTCCTCTTCCTCAGCAATTTTTGAACAATTCCCTTCCAAAAGAACGCTGTTTGGGGGTTTTTATTTATTTTTTGCAGTAAGAAAGGAACTCTCTTGCCGACACAAACACGCCTATCACTTGTGTCACTTCGCTGTACAAAGCTGTGCATAGAGATCTTAGTGTTGAGCATGATTGTCAATGAAATTTTAAACTCATTAACAGTCTAGCATTTGCACACAGCAGAACAAACGAAGTAGAAGGGTGTTCTTCCTTTCTTTCTTCCAGTACAAACCAACTCCTTATTCCTCTGAACATGAAAATGAACTGGAAAGAGTGGGATGTTATGAATAGAGGGAGAGTCATTAGTTTTTCATTCTCTTATAACTAAATCACGACAAAAATGGACGCCGAGGAACTAAAAGATCAATAAAGTAAAATCTTATATAAAAAAAGAATAAGTAATATTTATTTTGTACAAAACAGCGGTCAGTGTGCGAGGCCCTGGGGGGCGGGTCCTCAGCCCAGCAGAAGCGAGCGCCGGCTCCGCGGGCGGCCCGTGTCTTCGGCCGGGACGCGCACGGCCTGGCGGCGCACCGGGTCCCCCGCGGCCGCCTCGCAGCACAAGTCCGAGTCCAGAGCGGCCCCGCGACTCGGGCCGAGCACCAGGAGGCGCTGCTCGCGCGTGGTGCCCGGCGGCCGCAGGCCCAGGCGGAGGCGGCGGCCGGAGGCTCGGGGCTCGGGGGCGCCCGCG